CGGATTTTGACCGTTTCACTCCGTTCTTTCGCCATTTCCCCACTATATAGCGCCCTACTAGCATTTTAGGCCGAGTGGGAAACCATCGTGCCAACTGCCTTTAAGAGGATCTCGAATATGAGGACGGCGGGGGTTCGCCTTATTTTTCTGGTCGGGATAAGGGCGACTGCTTGGCACGAGGACGTCTGAGGACGTTTGCAGTCAGCGTACACGCGTCAGGATCAAATAGGCACATGGTGCCGTCACCTGTGGTGTAGGCGCCAGGCGGTTCGGGGTCAAGCGAATGCGATATTTGTGTTCAGAATATCGAAGCGCCCCCGAGGGAGGGGGTGAAATTTCTGAATTACTGTTTTGCCCCATCAATCAAGAAAATTTTTGAAAATTTTTCCATCCATCTCGTACCAATGCCCTTACCTGAACTCTTCATCGCTGCCCTCAGATGCCAGAGAAAATATACATCTTTATTGCAATTATTCTGAATTCCATAGTTCCAGAACATGGAAGTATAAAGTCAAAATAGAACCACATACATTGTTGGACAAAATAACCAAAATAACAAATAGACAATATACATGTTATCCCTGTAGTTATTACATTATTGAAAAAATAAATTATTAAAATGACTGTTATGAAGTGCCACGAAATGTCTGAAATGATGTTATAATCGAAGTACAAGACATTGGCAAGCTCCACCGCTTTTCATGAATTCGCTCATGTCTATGTCGGTGACAGCTTTCTTGCGACGAGCCAAGAGCTTCTCGTGTCGCTTTTTGCATGCCAGTTGGAGACAGTACCGTATCCCGTACAGTAATCGCATTGCAGACAAAAGAATTTGCTTCCTGATCGGAAATGGCAATGGAATCCGGTAGACGCCGCATAATCTAAATGAAGAAGTTGAACTGTTGGATCGATGTAATTTTGTTTTTCAATCTGTCATCATCTCTCAGTACCATTATTTTTACTTCTATTACCACCGTACTTATCCCAGTTTATTTTTATTTTTACTAGTAATATTCCTCAAAAAAAGGTAGCATCAGTGGACAGGAAGAAGTTCGCCGTGCCATCCGGGCTGTTGCAAACTGCATCAATTGAGTCAGCAATGTATAGTTTGTACTCATCACTCTCTACATCATCCCAGGTTCCTGATCAGGATAAGAGGTTTTTTTAATGCTGTGACCTGCTCCTATGCAAGTGCCGAAACCCATTGTACCACTAAGGTATGACAAAAGAGGTATCGCCGTGGGTTCCAAAACAGGATCCAAAATAGGAACATGTCAGTGGAATCATCTTTGAAAGTTTAAAACCCGGTAAAAAAAAGGAACAGACTTAGATGGGGGGGGTGCCTTACAAACCGCTGATATGCCACACAAAGATAAAACTGTACGCTTCCTTGAGGACGGTGCCTTCTATGTGCGAGGTGAATGGCCCCCGCAGCTGCAGAAGCGTGCCAGTTTCTGCGCTTGAAATTGCTGCTGGGTAATGATAGCCAAGTGGCACCTCAAGATTCCACTCGTCCGCTCTCATCGCCAAAGGTGTACGCGCAGCCTATACGAAATGATCCGCGCAAGCGAAACAAGCTCATCTTTGGCTAGAGAACACTGAGAAGTGAGAAAGGCCCAGAGCAAGTAGCGCGTTTTGACCTATGAGTCGGCGTGTCCACACGCGGGGCCGGAAGTAAACGGACAGAGTGCGTGTATGCAGCGTCCCTTCGCCGCATCGAACACTTCGAGCGCGTTATTGTTGCGTACCCACTCACCTCCCATATGGCAAAGACCAGGGTCCATGAATGTGAATGTACAGCTTGCCTTCAAGAGATCTCAAGACAAAGTGAGACAGAGTAGGCAAGACGTCACGTGGTACAATCGCTCTGTTGCGTACTCCCACCCTTTCACTAATTATGCTCCTATAACGAGCTAGACGTACTTCCTTCTTGGTATTCTCGGAGAAGGCCGGCGGATACCACAAGGCAGTTGTCTCATCAACAGGAGCAAAACAGGTGTCCAGATGATAGAAGTTTGGATGAATCAGTTCGCAGATGACGATGTCAAATTCTCCCAAGCCTTGATTCGTTCGTATACCTGAAGTGAACAAGTTAAATAATTTGGCATTTCATAGAAAAGTTCGAGAACAACGCACCCCTTTGGCCTGATCGCTGGCCAAATCCTGCCCATAGCGTTTTTGGGTCCGAGAATACGGCATCACCGCCACCTTCAAAGAATTCCGGATAGTCTTCACCCAGCGTTTGAAGCCCTTGTGATTTGAACCACTTCAAATAGTGCACCTGTTCTCCTGTTCTGAAATGAACCTTTGAGCAAAATCACTTTCAGACTGGTCTGTCATGGTATCAGACCCAACTTAGAACCATTATAGCATATGAGATCGAACTCGGGCAGTCTTCAACCCTACTCTATCTACAATCCTATAGCAGTTTCTATAGCGACAGCCCCTACTTTTAATATAAAAGCCACTGCCCCTAGAAAAGTTGCCCTCTTTCGATTTTTGACGCGCACAGTGCTGTGGGACGGCTATAATAGGACCAAATAAGTCATAGCTCCAGGCTACTGTAGTGGAAAGAATTCCAGGGGGTCCATACCCACGGATAGACCGAAGTAACAGGAAAACTGGCACTGGACGCCCCAAAACCCTTTTTTTGTAGTTCACGTCACCTTTCCTTGTGTCGGAATCTGCTGAGGTAAACTTTGTTGTTGTAGACGAGGCCAGAATTACACACGAAAACCTGATCTGGAAGGCCAGGCGTTTGTTCCATCGTTAACACCTGAAAATTTGCGTGACCACTTCATAAAGGTCAGTCTGAGGAGACTCGCGTGCAGCAGTAGGGAAGGAGCCAGGAGAAACGGAATGAGTCCACCCGCAGCGTTTTATACCACTACTTGTTCTCTACTTAAACCAGGCACTAAAAAAACTCAACCGGGTGAGCTCATTTCAAACCTTCTGACACCGCCCCACTGACTGCAACTACACTCGAAATCCTAGAGATGAGGTAGGCGTGGCTGCGTTTTTCAACTAAACGTGGCGGTTACTAAGCTTTTGGAGAAATATTTCCATTTTGACACAATTGTGGTCGTGTCTCTATCCAATGCAGAACAAGATGACAGTCTTCTCAAACTGAAATATCCCACGAGTGACCCGTTCTGTGCCATGCTCAAATGCCACGCCTACTCCATCTCAGGGATACAGAGTATATATCAACTACATATATGGTCTCATTTATGATTCCAC